ACCTTAGGGTTTTCTTCTTGTTCTTTCACGATCAGTTGCAGGTCAGACCATTGCGTTTTCATTGACTAATTTTTGGTCAGCACATTTCCCGGCCTTTCTAATCCATCTTAGTCGGAAATTAATATAGCACGGTAGCCACACATAAACCTCCAATAACAAACAGGTGGCAACCATGCACAAGATGTGTTTGCGGGGAATCAAGTTGTGTCTCCCCTGTAGAAGGCGAGACTTCCACCATGGAACCATCAATGTTTCATTAAAGGTTGGGTACTTTTATAAAGCTCCAAACTCACTTTTCATTGGAAATATCTCAGTGTATGCTCTAAGAAGGAATAAATTCCTAGTTATTAGCTAAATATGGCATGATGCATTTATTTTGGCTTTCAGGGGTTGTACTTTTTTTATTAAATGTGATTTTAAATTTGCTCCATTTTTAAACACTCAGCAGGCCGTGTGCTAAAACTTAGTGTTCAGTAGAGAGATCACATGAAACAAATAGGTGGAGGAGGAAATAGAAAAGTGATAACGGACTCCCGCATCATTCTCCAGGCCCATGGTCTGGTCTAAAGAGAACGATGGTGTTGATGAGCAATGAATTTTATAAAACTTGTTTTAAGAAGTCATTAGCCACGATTCACGTGTATTTCAGTGGGTGACCCATTATGCAGGCTGAAAGGAAGTCAGTTCCACAACCATCTTCACCCTTCTATTCGGTCACCGAGCATCACTCACGGTTTCATAAGAACTCGCAGACCTGGTTTGGTTTCTTTTTTTTTAAAGTTCAATTTGCAAGACTTTAATTTGTACTCCAGGTGCATGCACAATATGAGATGTTCTGTGGATTCTTCATTGTTTTTTAACATTGCATAATATTACATTGTGTGTATGTACATAGTTTCATACCAAGTCATGGGGAGCTCTTGGCGCTGTTATGCAGGGTGTCCCTTTCTTATTTGCCCAACTTCTCTTCCTTCATGAGCCCTCAGCGAGCTTTCTTTCAAACTTGCCACAAATCCACATCTGAATTCAGCTCTGCCCCTCATTTCTGCTATTATCATCCTGGGCAAAGCCTCAACCATAGCTCACCTGGACCGTGATGTCTTCTTATCTAAACGTCTTGCTTTGTTTCTTACCATGCATTTTCCTCAGGGCACCCAGAGTAATCTTTTTTTTTTTTAAAAAAATCAATTCTTTTGGGGGGGCTCTTACAAATCTTATAACAATCTGTCATTCATTAGTATTAAGCACACTTGTACATATGTTGCCATCAAATTTTCCCAATTTCTTTCGACTTGAGCCCTTGGTATCAGCTCCTCTTTTTTCCCCTCTCCCTCCCCCACACTCCCACCCTTATGAATCCTTGATCAATGACATATTATTGTTATTCCATGCCTTAGACTGTCCTTTGTCTCCCTTCACCCACATTCTGCTATTCCTGCCCCTGGTGGGGGAGGCTATATACCCAACCTTGTGATGGGTTCCCACTTTCCCTCCTGCCCTCACCATCCCCCTACTCTCATGATATTGCTACTCCCACTCCTATTCCTGAGGGTTTTACCTGTCCTGAGTTCCTTGTGTTGAGACCTTTTAGCTGTACCAATGTGTGTACTCCAGTCTAGCCAGATTTATAAGGTAGAACTGGGTCATGGTACTGGGGGGAAGAAGCAGTCAGGAACTAGAGGAATGATGTGTTTCGTCAGTGCTATACTGTATCCTGAGACATCCCCCCACAGAGGGGTTACAAGGAAGGATGGATTTAACCAGATTCATCTTTTTAATGCATAAACCTATGAAGCACTTAACTCCACCCACCAAAACAAAAAACTGTTGAGAACCCTTATTGGTTTCCTTTCAGAATAAAATGGAATCCAAAGGACTTGTCATTCACCACCTTTTGAGATCTGGTTCCTGTTCTCTCCTACCTCAGCTTGCCCCAATTCCCCATCTCCCCCCTCCCTTACGCCACCCCTACCACTACCACCAGTCTTGCTCCAGCCTTGTTGGTCGTCTTTCTGCTCCTCTATCCAATCATATTTCTTTCCACCGTGGGCTTTCTCACAGACGTCCTGCTTTTTGGACTACATTTCCTCTGGCCTTTGCACAGCTGGCCTTTCTGACTATTCTGCGCTCAACCCCAACGTCACCGAGTTTCAGTGAAACTTTCACCGCGTACTCAGGGTGGACGGTCACCTTCTTCTATCACTTTGTCTGCGTTCTCTCCAGTGACCATATTAATTACCTGCTTAGGTACTGTCTACCCCTTCCAAGTATAATGTGAGCTCCCAGAGAGGGAGGCTCCCTTTAGAGCAGTGCATGAGCACTGAGGCATTAACAAACTGCAGCAAGTATTGATCAAGGACATCTGTAACTTTTCCGATCACATTTTCTGCCAAAAATTCCTCTTTTGACCTTCTCTGTTTCACTTCAGTTTCTAAGTGATTGCTGACTCAAGCTTACCTGCTTAAACCCCCCCACTTGCCCCATCCTGAATCCCCTCTAGCCATTACCAAGTGGGTGAGGAGGAGAAACTGTCTGGAACTCATTACTTGGCACAGCTCTGCACTTCTGCATATTTAGGCTTTAGTAGAGAGGTAAGCTTACACTTGTGTGTCCTGGCATGTCACACAAAAATGCTGATCGGGAACAGTGCAGGCCGGGTGAAGCCTTCTCAGGCTGTAGTCGCATTCCACTCACCTGCTCTGTAGGGTAAATTCTTGAGTCATTGCTCATTATCTGAAGGGACAGAATGAACTCAGTAGGCCTCTCTGGCAGTTTGGATGCAATGACCATACTCTAGATGTCAGGGACAGTGATTCCTCTTGATGGATAGCAGAGGAATAGTTCTGGAGCAGAGCTCTGGACCAGTTTATTCGGATTCAGTGCCCTGCTGAAAAAGTGCATTTCCAGCCCAGATATGGTGCATGACATGCTGTTCTTTCACAAGAATCCCCTAGGGATTTGTGTAGATTCTGAATCAGTAAGGGCTTCAAAAAGTTCATGGAAGATTTTTGTTATCTTTCAATTCCACTTTTTCCCCCCATGCGTTTTTTTTGAAGCCCCAGCATGTATCTGGGGTAGAAATTTCTGAACAAGGATTTAAACTGGAATGAACTGGTTCAAAGCCTTCTTCGGGAGATGTAGCATTTTCATACAGCGGTATCCAGGGAGAGAAGGACACTGATTTGCTGGATGAGAAGCCCCAAGCAAATGATAGGCGGGTCAGGGAGAATAGGCATGCTAACTAGGGAGATGAAGGCAGACATTTACTTGACGTTTGACTATATGGATCATAACCAACTAGGAATAATATTAAGAATACTGGGAATTCTGGAACACTTAATTGTGCTCAGGTAGAATCTAAGTGGTTCAACCAGAATAAAGGGATACTGCATTGCTGAGAAGAATGAAAGGGTTGTATTCTCTCAACATACTTGTTCCATCTCTATGCTGAGCAAAAATCCTAGAAGCTGGACTCTAATGGAGAGGAATGTGGCATCAGGATTTGAGGAATTCTTATTAACAACCTTTTGATATGCAGATGACATACCTTTGCTTGCTGAAAGCCAAGAGGACTTAACACAGATAAATAAAGCATTGCAGCCTTTAATATGGATTACGACTCAAGGTAAAGAAAACAAAAGTCCTCACAACTGGACCAATGGATGGCATCATGGAAAACAGAGAAAAGAACGAAGTTGTCAAGGATTTTTTTTTTTGGGTGCTTGGATCCACAAAATCAATGCTGATGGAAGCAGAAGTCAAGAAATCAAACACTGTAATGCATTGGGTAAATCAATTGCATGAGACCTCTTTAAAATGCTAAAGAGCAAGTTTGTCACTTTGAGGACTGAAGTGCACCTGATCTAAGTCATGGTAGTTTTAATTGCCTCATATGCATACCTCATATGAAAGCTGGACAGTAAACAGAGAATGCAAAAGGAGAATTGATGCATTTAAATGATGGTGTTATTGAAGCATATTGATGTCACCATGGCCTCCCAGAGAAACAAATCAATTTGTCTTGGAGGAAGGACAGCTGGAATGCAAGGAAGGCAAGACAGCCGCATCCTTTAGACCTATGATCAGGAGGGACCACCCTCTAGAGAAGCACACGTGCTTGGTAAATGAGAGGGTTGGGGGGCGGGGGGGAAGGAAGACGTTCAATGAGATGGACTGATGTTGGCTACCACACTGGCTCAAACATTTAACAACAATTGTGAGAATGGCACGAGTGGATGGTATTTCATTCTGTTGTACATAGAGTTACTGTTAGTTTTCAGTTTAGAACCACAACAACAATAATCTTTTTTGGGTGGTGTTTCAGGAAGGCTGTGAGTTAAAGTGTCTGCCACTGTCCAGAACTTTCCTATGCCTGTTCTGAGTCTTAAGCATCGGTCTTTCTCACCAATACTGAAGGCCTACATTGCTCTTCTCACTTGGCCGCATGGGCAGACTCAGGAATGGGACCAGGTTGCTCTCTCAAGTGAAAGGCCCCAGATCCTAAATCTTGATGGCCAGAGCCAACATCTCTCATCCTTACTTTTCTTTTTAACCAGTATATATTTTTGTGCTTCTAAAATATTTGATTAATCTTCAAGTATATGAGCCTTGGAGGTGACATAAAAGGATTCACCTATTAGAAAAATAAATGTGCCTGGGAAATCCATTTAACCCTTATTCCTGGAGAGAGCTGAGACACTTGTTGCTGTAGACCAGTGGCTCTGCTGGGAATCACCTGGAGGGCTGGTCAAAGCTAATTGTGGGGCCTCACCCCTAGCCTTTCTGATTCAGTGGGTTTGAAGTGGGACCTGATCATTTGCATTTCGAAGTTGGCAGGCAGTGTGCTGCTACTGCTAATTCTGGGACCATATTTTGAGAACCACTGTCAGAGTAATCCATTTATACACCATGCTCTGAATGAAAATTATATATTGTACTTCAAGTGGGCCATTGCTTTAAACAGCTTTTATTGATATGCTTGCTTATGTCTCCTTGAACAGGTATTTTGATGTTGGACTGCATAATTTCCTAATTCGGTAAGCCAGAAATTTTTATTGTATATGCCGTTGAATAGCATGTCTACTGCAGGAGGGTGAAGTGGAAAATAAAATTCTTGATGGATAATGGCAATGTGTACTTGTCAAGAAAATAGCCCTCTCACAATCACACATGAGATTATCCCTTTTTTAATCATGAACATTTTGGTTTAATGGGATTTAAATGTAAAGATAGTTGTCCAAGAGCTTAGGAAAATTCAGTTACAGCTACTAGCCTGCTGGAATTGAAAAATGAAGGGTGCCAGCTTATTTCCAGACACGAAGCACAGCCTTCACTAATTTTCTCTGTTCTGGCCTTATTGGGACGAAACCCGGTGTGCTGGTTGTTTTGTAGCCATGGCGATACCCTCTTGATCATCATGCAAAGAGATCATCATGGCAGTTTATGCCCTAGTCCGTCGGTGATCTGATCAGATTTGGCTGGTGAGACATAATAATTTCGAATAGGTCTTAAATCAAACAGATACATGAGAAATATATTAGAATGTTGGTATGCATATGCATATTTTCCTGCTATCAACTTTGCTGTATTACATCGGAAATTTTTCTACATTGAGAATATATAACAGTAACAGCGGTTTAAAAAAAAAGATCATTAACATGGCCTGACAGAAATGAATCAGGGAAATGATAATGATTGCCAAAGACTACAAGCTAAAGATGACAAGAAAGCTAAACTTCAGATAGTGTAGTGATACATTTTCTGCAAATAAGTGACTTTAAATGCGCAATGCTCTGACTTAATTATCTAATATCTAACACAAGCTAGAGCCTTTTAAGTCTGGCAGTACAAAGAACCTGCCAAATCAAGCATGGATTTGGAGAGGTGTATGGTGGCTCTGTTTCCCATAGTTCATGTCCGTCTTCCCACTATTAAGATGCTCTCTGAGGAGAAATATAGATCATCGTCATCACCTTTCTCCTAAACCGGCAGCATTTCCTCTACGCAGGACTGCAGATGGAGGTGATTTTCCCAGAGAGACCATGTGTACTTTGTCTTCTTCTCCAGGGCCTTATCCATGGCTGGACATTAAAAAGCTTCTGGGCTCACCCCAGAGATGTTGGAATCGGAATTGCCCTGAACTTCTCGGATATGTTCACAGTGGGAACCACTACCCTTGGGTGGACACACGGGTAAATCCATTTTAGCTTCAACTCACTCACTGCCGGCGAGTTGCTGCTGACTCACGGTGACCCTACAGGACAGAGTGAAATTGTCCCTGTGGGTGTCCGGCTGTAACTCTTTACAGGAGTAGAAAGCCTCATCTTTCACTCACGGAGAGGCCGGAGGTTTCAAACTGCCTGCTCTGTGAGTCGCAGCTCAATGAGGAACCACTAAGCCACCAGGGCCCCTGCATTTTAGAAGGAGGGGCAAAATACCAGACGTCATAGGAGACTCAGGCATAGGGATTTCGTGTATAAACTGATTAGAAAAGGTTGTGTATCTGAGGGACGGGCTTGGGTGGTTTTGCATGAAAATTATTGGTATTTTTGTGCTACTTCCATGGCATTGGTCACATAATTCCTTGCGGTGAATGAAAATTTTGTACTTTTCTTATTTCTGATACTTATTTCTGATATTTCTTGAGGGTAGGTATCATGTCTTAATCATATTTCTGTGATGCTAATTATAGAATCGTATTTCCATGATTAAGCCCAGAGACTTGTATGGAATCAACATTTGTGGTAGATGCAGATGGATGAGTCAATGAGTGAAACGGTGCCAAAAGGACAGGAAAGGTGAAGATTGAGAAGAATCTAGTCAATTGTTTATTCAAAAAGTAATTAATAAGCTTACTGAACACCACACCATTTACTTGGTTATAATTGGGAATGTCACTGTTAGCAAAAGTGGACATGATCCTAGATCTTGTTTAACTTAGAGTCCATTGGGAAGGAGAGAAATTATTTGAATCATAAATATACCTGTAAAATGGAAAGTAAGATACATGTTTCTTCTTTCTTTTTAAAAAATCATTTCATTGAGGGCGCCTACAACTCTTATCACAATCCACACATAAGTCCATTGTGTCAAGCACATTGATACATACTTCTGAAGGAGAGGGACCAAATGCTAGAAGAATATTTTGTACCTGGTTCATTCGGGAAACTTCCACTTTAAACCAAAGAGTAACAGGAAATGAGTTACTACATTGCCTGACACAACTTGGAAACTGGGGAAAATATAGAAGCCATGATTTTCACTCGTTGAACACTAGGTAACAAAGCACAGAGATCCATGAGAAAAGGAGAATGAATGATGATTCCCAATTTGCTCCCTACACAGAATTTTGGACTGCTGCACAGGGAGGAGTGGGGGTGGCACGCAGGTAGCACTGTGTGGTCTCCTTGAGTTCAGGAGAAAGTTAGGAGGGGGTAGTGTCCACAGAGTAGAACATCGCTGAGAAGACATCTCTCAGGAAGAGATATCTGGGGATTTGCAGGAAATCCCCTTTGAATCTTCAACTGAGTACTGATCAGAACATGCATCTGGTGAAATTACCTGAAGCTGGGGAAAGGCTCACCTGAAAGCAGGAATGAGAATAGCCCTCGGAGTTCACCCAGGACTGGAATAGTTGGTGTTTGTCTCAGACAGAACGAGGACAGATCAAGAGTATTCAGAAGAGGATTGACTGAGCATTGGGAACATTAACCCCTGTCTAAAAACTGCCCTGGTTCCACCTAACAAAACTCAAAGTCAATGAGGAAAGAACCTTCTGTTGTAAAGCAATGCAATTGTGTTCGAGGGGAAGGCAATATACAATGAGCAGGAGCTTAGGAAAAACTGATGGAAGAAGAGGAAGATACTAAGAGTTTTGCACGAGTTAAACACAAAAGAAGCAAATACTGTTCTGTACAAAATCCTGGTAGAGTAGAGATCTATGAGTAGATGCTTGGACAGGCATACCGGCTTTACGAGTGGAAGAGTGAGAGTGGGAGTGTATCCCTGAATATATATATAGGCTTGGCAGAGGATGTTTGTGTGTGTTTACTTTTGCTGCAAATATCCATGAATGTGGTGGAGTACGCACAGGAAGACAATTCCTTAGACATAACCAAACACCTTGAGGGAATGGGTTACTAGTGAGCAACTATCTAAGGTATAACTATTCATTTTCTGTACAGAAGAAAGAAGAATGACAAAAATTGAAGGACACATGGAATTACACATGTAGTGCAATGGACTAATGGATCACATTAACATCAATCTCTACAATCCTGAGACCAGAAGAACTAGATGGTACCTGCCTACCACTACCAGTTACTGTAAAAAGATTAACATTATAGGGCTGTGCTAGGCTCGGTTGACTTGAGAAACGAATTCATTGACACTCATATATGAGTAAGAGAGAGCTTTATATCTAAGAGTAATTGTATATTGAGAATACAGCCCAGCCCAGTCCAGATCAAGTCCATTAATCCAATATTAGCCCACATGTCCAATATTAGTCCATACATTCTTCTTTAGACTTAATGCAGCACATGCAATGATGCTGAATGCAGGAAGATCAAAGGCTGCTGGGTGAAAAGTCTTATGAATCCAGTGGTGGTAGAAGCATCTCAGTGTTGCTGCAGGTCTCCACATGGCTCCTCTCTCTCTCTCTCTCTCTGAGTGTGTCTCCTCAACAGCAAGGCAAAGCAGAGAGAGACTGTGACCCGCCTGCCCACCACCAGAGAGAAAGGAAGTTCCCAGAATTCTCATGAGAAGGCCATGCCCACAAGGAGGCATCATCAGGTTGTGACCTGATTGATAGGCTAGACTCCATCCCTATACTTGTTTACCAAGTTGACATGAAATTATGTAATTACACAAGGGCCCTAGATGGAGTGGGACAAAAATGTAGAACAGAACTCAAAATTATAAAATAGACCAAGTTTATTGATCCGATAGAGAGTGTTGGGGCCCCCCACCCCTCGCCCCAAGCGGTGGCCCTTACCTTTCAGTCTAGAACTGAACATACCTTCATGTTAGATAATCATTTAAGATCAAAATGGCGGCATCTACCCAAGACAAAGTTCAGAGGGTTAGGATAGGAGGAGGAAACAATCTTCCTGAAGGCAAGTCTTATTATCTTGGGATAAGTTATGGTACATTAAGGGATTGTAAGAGATGTGTTGAATCAGAATGCATATGACTTGCTGAATGTAAAACTATGATCTGCTCTGTAAACCTTAACCTACTTCACAGTAAAAAGTAAACAAAAAATATTTAAGGGAATACAAAAATCTTTAGCAACAAATAAGGTAAAATATTCAGTATCGAAAAATTCAATTAAAAAAATATCACCATGTGCTCACCTTCCTGACACAATCTCTGAAGACAAAATGGATGCATAAAGAAATGTGGTGAAGAAAGTTGATGGTGCCCGGCTATCTAAAGATATAGCATCTGGGGTCTTAAAGGCTTGAAGATAATCAAGTGGCCATCTAGCTGAGAAGCAACGAAGCCCACATGGAAGAAGCACACCAGCCTGTGTGATCTTGAGATGTCCATGGGATCAGGTGTCAGTCATCTAAGACCCAGAACAAAATCATACCCAATGTGACTTGGGGAGGGGGGCATGGAGTGGAGACCCCATGCCCATCTGTAGACAGTTGGACATCCCCTCACAGAGGAGTCACAGGGAAGAGGTGAGCCAGTCAGGGTGCAGTATAACACCGATGAAACACACAACTTTCCTCTAGTTCTTTGGTGCTTCCTTCCCCCCACTATCATGACCTCAATTCTACTTTACAAATCAGATTAGACCAGAACATGCACACTGCTACAGATAGTAGCCCATAACACAGGGCATCCAGGATAGATAAACCCCCCAGGGCCAACAATGAGAGTAGACATACCAGGAGGATTAGGGGAGAGTGAGGGGAGAAGGAGGAATTGATCACAAGGATCAACCTAGAACCCCCTCCCAGTGGGACGAACAATGGAAAATGGGTGGGGGTGACAGAGGTTGAGGTAAGATATGAAAATAATCTAT